AGGGCTCGGGGCGGCACCGCTGTGGTTGGTCACACAGGTGTAAGTTTGAGGCTGTTGGTCCTGTTCAGGGAAACCCCCGTGCCAGCTTTTCGGCACGTTCTGCTCTGGCATTCAGCTCAGTTGCCTCTTCAGTGTAGTGTGATTTGCACAAGGAAACCTGTGGCCATTCAGCCTTTCTTCTTCTTGTCCTGTTCTCGTTGACTCCATGTCAGTGACACGACAGGCCTGGCAGTCCTGGCTTCATCTCTCGGGTCGTTTTGATCAAGGTAATTAACCCACCTGTCAGGTGAGGGGTAGCCAAGTGCTGCAGTGCCTTGCAGCCCAGGCTCGATCCCAGGTGTGGGTGGGAGGTCCGATGGCTGGGAGGAACCCGCCAGCTCTTTATCTACAGTGCTTTTGGCCAGAGACAATGGCTGCAGCTCCATTGCCACCATGGGAGCAGGTAAGGTCAGCGCTTTGGGTCTGCTGCTTGGTGTCTCCTCCCAGTTCAGAGCTGGTGTTGGGGTAGTTCAGGGGCTGGGGTGAAGGCTGGCTGTTTGCTTTGTGCTTACCTGCTGCTGGGTCTTCTGTAGTTACTAACCAAAGCATGAGTATCGGGTGGTTTTGAAGAGATGCGGGAAGCTAGTCCATGTCTTTACTGAAAATTTGCAAACTCAGTTCCTTTACTAGCTTCTAGTAGCATCTGTCTAGGAAAGAGAATTTGGCAATTCTTGAAGTATTTTTGGGTCATGTAAAAAGTGAGACAGCCCAACTGTTGCACGCATGGGTGCATTTGCTGTCCTTTGTTGTTTTGCTCTCTGACAAGAAAAGTCTACTGAAACCTGAAATGTGGTAAGTGTAAACTGTGGGGAGAGCACCTGAGGGGTTGGAGTCGTGCTTGTGCAGGGTTGTATGGAGGAGCAAACACCTTTACTGGAACATGGAAGCATGAGAGGCTGCTTAAATCAGAAAGTGTGTGTCTGCCGACAGTATTCCCTGGGAGCAGAAAGGCTGGTGTCTGAGCAGTTCATGGGTACATTTTACATCATCAGTAGCTCAAATGCTGATTGTTATAATAAATTCTAGTTTAAGTTACAAGCACTTGTGTAAA